TTTTTATTATATATAAATATGCATGAAAGTATAATATTATTGTTAAATAATTTGATGATGCACATGCTTGTCAAAGGGTTGTTTATACGCTATGACTGAAAAATATGGTGCCACAAAGATCTCAAGTTACCTACAGGAAATCATATCCTTAGTGTGAAGTATTCTTGTTAAAAAAAGAACAGAAAGATTCCCAAACTTATAATGCTACTAAACCATAGGTTTAAATATTACTGTCATCTGAAGGCATGTCTTAAAAAAATCAAGTTCTTTTTAAGTAATTATAAAATTGTATCATATAAATTTCATTAACTTATTGAAACAATATAAAATAAAGCCTAATAAGGAAGTAAGTCTTCCACTATAATATGAAATCTTTCGATGTAGTTCTCCTGCAGTATTAGTTTTATCAATTGGTTCAGTAATTCTCAGTATAAATATAAATCTTAATATAGTTTAATTTAGATAAAAAAGAAAATTCATAGTTTTTGATCATCAGAATTCTCTCTCTACATTAATTTATTGTTCCAATCATATAGGCTATTCTAGTATGAGTTTTATAGAAATTTTGGAGTAAATTAAAATATGGGAGGATAAATTACCAAGGATTCTTGTTGCTATCAAAATCACTCATCACTTTGTTTCACTTTGCCTTTCTTCAATCTCAGGAGATCTGCTGATGATAAATTTAAAAGATTAATCATGATTAAATACTCAAAGGTAGGAATATTTTCTCTTGATCAATTACTAAGGTTAAGAAATTTAATATCAACAAATTTCAATTAGAAAATTATGACCAACACACAGAACTACTTAAGGACGAATGAAGCTGCTGTTATGTAACTTAACATCTTAATATCATTTCTTACATATATAAAGTTTGAAAGGGAATTTTAATAATTATAATTGTAGAAATAGAAAAAAAATGATTTTATTTGGAAAAATATTTGGGATATATATAAATGCATGTTCTGTAAAATTAATCAATTTTGTTGCTTTGTAAACATTATAATGTTGTCAAAAAATCTAACTGCCCTTTGATTTGAATAAATATTTTAAATCTACTCCTTAATAATTTAAAAATTCTCCTTTCAAGATTTAAGTTCCTTAGGCTTCTAAATTTTTATTTTAGGATATTCTGAGAATAGAAATATATTAGGAACCTTTATAAAAGTGAAAATTTATACCATTTTCTACTAAGACTTTATTTGGAAATTATTCAGGGTTTAATTATTACTAAATTTCTTTATATTCAATGTTTGAAAGAAATATTTATGGTGGTTTTTTTACTTTATATAAGCG